GAAAAGTTTCTCATTTTGAAAGGATTCCAAACAAGATACCGCCTAGCATTTGTCAAAGGATAGTCTCTAGTTTCAGAAACGTAGAAAAGTCATCAAGATACTTGGACTGTATTCCAGTCCCATTTATCTGAATTTCTATGGTTAAGCCCTAGGAACTCAAATTTTTTAACAAACTGTACAGTTGATTTTGATGCATGCTAGAGTTTGAAAACCAATAGTTTAGATCAATCTTTCACTTTAGAATTATTTGATTTTGCTCATCATTTTTTTTTTGAGAGATATTTTTGTTATAGGGCTCATGTGCTTGCCAGAAAGACAGAGAGAGACAGAGAGACAGAAAGCAAGAAATCACCCCCAGGGGGGATGGTCACGCCGCAATCCCTTCTCCTTCATTCTCCTCTCGGGAGCTTGGGCACGGACGCACTCACACTGGGAGTGAGTTTAAGCCACCGGGTCCAGGACTCAAACCTCAATCGACTACATGGGAGTCCAGCGACATAGCCATTATGTCAACTGCTGGTTCCCATCTTTATTACTTTTTTTAAGACTTATTTTTTATTTAACTTTATTTATTTATTCATTCATTCCAATTTGACCAGAGAGGAACAGAGAGAGAGAGAGAGAAAGGAAGAGAGAGAGAGAGAGAGAGAGAGAGAGAGAGAGAGAGAGAGAAAGCAAATCACCAGGTCCAGGATTCGAATCACAGTCGGCCATGTGGGAGTCCAGTGCCCTTAGCCACCACACCACCTGCTGGTCCCACCGTTATTATTTTTAATTTGCTATAGGGCGTGTATACTCACCAGAGAAAGACAGACAAAGGGAGAAAAGGAAAGTGAGAAAGCTAATTGTCAGGTCTGGGACTCGAACTGAGGCCTGCCATCTGGGAGTCCAATGCCTTACTTGCCACACCATATGCCTGTCCCCAGCCTTCACTTTAGATGCAAAAGATTCAGGGAATTGAGGTTCTGAAAAAAATTTCTTGCCCAAGGGAGTATACATAGACAGAATCTGAGGTAGTTCCAAATCCCAAATATATAGATGCCCAGTTTAAACTGTTTCATTCAAATAAACAAATATGAATTTCTCTTTTCAATCCTTTCCAATCTAAGCAGGAGATACTAATCAAATGTGCAATGCCACAGTTTTGGGAGCTCAACTTAATTTTTTCTTATTCTGAGATTATTATTCATGTTTTTGTAAACTTTTGGAATAACACAGCAAACTGAATTCATAAATATCATCAGGAAAATTCATTCAAGTTTTGAGTGTCATTGTAAAATTAGTATTGCGCACTGTCTTGAGACTTAGTACTTGTAAGCACAATTTGTCTGTGGGTACAAAGTGCGAAAGGCAGTAGAATGCAAGCCAAATAGGAACGGAGAAAAGAAGCCACAATTGCAAGTTGCTTTCTTTTCTCTTCCCCAGCAATTGTAGCCAGTTCTTACCTTGTAGGGGAAGCTCTAACAGAAGGGTTAGCCTTGCACTGAAGTTAAAATGATTCTGTACAGTAGAAGAAAGTGAGAGAGGTAGAGAACATTGTGCAGATTCTGATTGGTTGCTTGAATTCAGTCCTTTTGGTACCAGAACTATCT